AAAATGTTTGAGAATGTATAAAGTCTACTGTCAGATTCTGGGAATCATGACAACTACTATGGCAGACGACTTCGGACTAGGTGCGCTCTACTAATTCGCCCTGACAACAAGACTAAGTTGCGACAACGAGGTCAACCTACTTCTTTCCCATATTACTTTCTGTGGTGGGATCGTCGATGAAGCAAATTTGTATTTTGTTATTAAAGTCGACTATATTACTTATATTCATATAGGGTAGGTTTCGAAATTATCAGTAAATCTTGAAATCTTGTAACTTAGTCATGATTTACTGATAGTTTTAAAATCAATTTCATATGAATATGATTAATGTAGTCGCTTGTAATGGCCAAATACAAGTTTGCCTCATCAAATATCCCATCACAGAAAGTAATATAGGAAAAATTGGACCTTCCTTGAAATCCACATCTTCCATTTGACTTTGGGGCACTCTTGGCATTTTGGCGTAGAGGCAACGAGTCGAGATTATGCGCTACACTACCACAAACCGGGTTTAATTTCCGAGGGGGTACTGACGAGACCCAGGCGAGGCTGAAATTATAGTCGATCCAGGATGAGAATAGTTTTTGGGAAGCAAAGTGGAGTGAAATGCAATGGAAACGTGAAGCATATTCATCTGATTGTGAGAAAATTCAATTATCAGCCCTTCATCACTTTATGCCTCTAAGGGTGATTGGAAGTCTATCTAATTGTGAATATCTCTCATTCCAACTTGACAAATCAAATGTCATCAGCCTTACTGAGGCTAGCATTGAACTTATCAGGCTGTGACCTCTCGCACCAAGCCAAGTCTACCACAAATCAGGATTTAACTCCACCTGATTTCTCCATGGCCCGTCTTCTTTTCATTGGCCAGCTGTTGCTCTCACACACCGCCTCTGTGCATCATACTCGTTTCTTCAGTCAACGGTTTGACTCGCCGAATCGCCTTTCGAGCTGGGAGTTCCAATTACAACTTGGAGCCAAACTCACCATGACAGCGTCGTATAATCAACTGAGGCAGTTCATTCAGATTGTTGACCGCACGCCGTCTCTAATCCGTGCCACTTACATTCTCGTGCCTCCAAGTCCCCTCTTTGGTATATGTATCTGCTAGACGTTAAATAGGTCGGATCTCCGCATCAGAAGGACCACGCTGACGCAGCGTTTGTACCAAGCAAAGTCTTTCATCACAAGTGTCGTTTCGTCCCTGTTTACCTGGTCACTCTTGCTCCACAAAAACAAACTGGTTGCCGCAGGACCGACTTCAAATCAACGCCGCCTGTCCAAGTTGTGTCTCTACAGCCTCCCACCATTGTGTCTTCCAAGTGGCTACATCACTCCAACAAGCCGTCTCAGTTGTCTTATTTCAGCCCTCTTTCTATGCTTACCTTTTACTCAGCTACCTCAATCACGGACATGCATGCAATCTTCATCTTTGTTACAACCAACCAGCCCTGTATACATGACCACTATACAACTTCACCATATGATCCATGGTATTACTCGAGTAAACAGGGTAAACGATAAAGGCCCCCAACACTCCGTTTGGATTAAGGCTGTCCACTAAAGTAAAAAATATATTTACAAACTATTCTTTGTGGAATCTGATGTGAATTTGTCTCTGTATCAGTTTCGTTTTGTTTAGGATTACAGTCGGCTTGTCGGTCAATAACGCCTCTCATAACAAGACACAAAAGATCTCGAACTTTCATGAATTTTGTGTCGTTTCTGCTTAGCCGACATCAGAACCCTCTTGAATGGTATTTGGTCATGGAACAATTATATCCTTCATTCGAAACAAACTCCTTTAATAAGGCCGATATTATTCTTTCTATGGTCTTGGTGGGAGGTGAATTATAAGTTTATTCGGCATTTTTACAAAGGACTACTTTCCATTTAAAGTCCTGGAATTATAATCTTTCTTCTATAGAACTATAGTTGGGGTGAAAATTATGTTGATGGCAAGTGTAGTGGAATCGGCTTTCAAAGTATGCGGCATACAGCAGTCACTTGAATATGGCCTACTTGCTCCTCCAACTTTACTCTATTTTCACATTTGATTGTTAACTAAGTGAGATATCAAAAGGTTATCATCATTTGTGGTGGGCATCTTCACTGATACCAACTAAACTGACTCCACTATCCAAATCCTCAAAGATACATTTCTCACTTATTTGCCAAGCAAGCCTTTTGGGGATGCAGTTAGGTACCGATTTTGTACGAAAGGGATGGTCATAGAAACGAAATGCGCGACCCCCGATACACCTTTCTAGGTTTATCCAGGAAACAAGTTCCAACCAGTTGGTGTTGTTTGTTTTCACTTAGCCCAACAAAGGCCACACGAATCTGATAGGTGTAGTTGCGTATGCATCTCTTCTCTTTAATTTATTTTTTTTCATTGCATCGCCCATGCAAACTGGGCATCATGATATTTGATATACGAAATTACCCTCATGACCAATTAGCCTTATACGTCAAGACGGGCTCATTTGGAGCCCTAAGGAGTTGCTTATTTTATTCGCGGGCGCGTCCCGCAAATTCATTGCATCAAGTCTTAGAGAAATCCATATTAGGTATTCTATTAGTCCAGCTGGTTACTAGTCTTTGGGATCCAGAGGCACATCAACTCGCTCTGGATGGTTGGTTATCAGGGAAAAGCAAATGCCCTTCAGCTAAACCATTATTTTGGATTAATCCTTTAATATTTTACCCTGACAGGCTATCATCATTGTCGTCTACTCGTTCTTTATGAGTGAAATCTTCAGCCAACAGTTCATTGTTCCCCAAGCGACCATTGTTCCTGCCAACTCAACCACTGCTCTACTTTTCACCAACCTCCCGTTCATGCACCTAGCTTCCTTCGATTCCTACATCCCCGTGGCGAGCATAGTTAAGTTTCTGATCTACATGGGTTGGTTCAAAATTGGCCTCAGCCTAATGAACCCGCTGCGTGAAGATCAGAGCGGTTTCCCGATGGAGGAGATTTTTGAATCTAACTTGAAGACGTCAACGAAGATTGCCCTCTGCCCTTCAAACAAGCTGCCAGGTGTGCTAAACTGAATGCCTTAGCTACCACTCAGTATATCATATAGCATAGGAGTCCATTTCATCTACTCTTTTTTGATGAATTGCTATGTTTTCCCAGAACAATCGGCACTTTTGGTTCCGTTTCAACTGCAGAAGACAATCGCGATTGCAATTAGAGATAGAATGAGCTAACCTTTCGGTGACTGAATATCGAATCATTTTCATTTTAATCAGCAGTTTTTTAAGGCTGATTGATCATAGATATAAAGACCAGGTTGTGTGATCGCCTGTTTGGTTGCAGTCTCCTCTAGCTTTTTAGTGTTGGTTCGACCTCGTTTTCCCAACTTGGTCGGAGGGTCAGGTTTACCTTGTGAAACGTACCTGGTCATGCGTCCTCTGCCAGGGTATTGGCGATTTGCATTCAATAGTCCGATGCTGGAAATCACCAAGACTAAGGTCTCCCTGTTGCTCCGACCCAGTAGCGAAAACGAGGTCAAACCAACACAACAGAAATTTAGTTGAACTTTGAAGAGCACTGACGACGACTGTGACGATCGCAAGCTGCTTAAGTCCCAAATAGCCCTATTTGACTTTCATGACTGAATTCCACCTGTGAAGCCAAATGAAGCCGGTATAGCCGTCGATCTCCGCTCTAGTAACTAGGTCTATGTTCCTTAACCTCTGGGAATGGTATTATTCTGCTTTTTGCATGTTTATGGCCTTCGAGCCACCTGATTTATACCTCCCCAAAATGATTTTATCTATTGGGGCTGAGGTAGAAAGATTGGCTTCGTTCGAACAAAACAGGTTGTGGTAATTAGGCTCTGGAAAGTGAAATCGTGCTATCTGAAAATGCCCATCCAAGAGACTACATGTGGCCATTCTCTCAGACGAGATCGAAACTGCAGTCCAGTCTGGCCTGGAGGAGAATATCTTCGGGGAAGTACAGCTAGGTGAAACCCCTTGGCGTCGTGACGGCCCTACTAATTTCATCATGAGAACATTTAGCTACCAGTACTTCATTGACCTTTAGCAACTTAAAGTGACTACGTTTTTGTACGTAGTAAGTCATTTGTACTTTGTGGTGCTTGAGCTGTGCTGAGGGACACTTGGGACGACTTCAGGACTGCCGCTCACGGGTCTCGAGAAGCATACCGACTACAGATTTCAATATGTAGAAAAACTATTTTTCGAAGAATCCCTTAATAAATTCATACTGGAGTACCTTTTATTTCGTTTAAAGAGACGAATGGAAAGAGCTCGTAAGTTGGTCTTACCGGAGGCTGTAGGAGGATTGCTTTGGAGCTGTGATTGTAGGTTTATGTGAATAGGCTCACGTTCTGGGGCAACCTCCGGTCCTTTGGCAAGAAATAGAAGCACTGCTCCAATAAGAGCTAAGGGATGGAAGGTGAATCGGTATGTCTTGCAAAATCTCTGTTTTCCCCTCCTTTGTTCTGTTTTTTTCCCTCTACCCATCCTCATCTCCACCACATGTTATCTGTCCGTCTCCACATCTCTAATCTTTTTTGCTTTTCCTCGTCTGTCCCACTAGCCTCACTGCAAGCTGACGATGCAACTTTCGCGTCGGCCCTCATACAGGAGCAGGTGGATGCCAAAATAGCGCTGCACAAGTTCGCGCATTCAGATACTTCAGTTTGGGGACATGCTGACTCGGAAACACCACGACAAGGCTGCGAGTCAAGAGACAAGTGTAAAGTGACGGAAAAGAATAGACCCTTGGAGGATTTCCTCGACATGTCAAATAGACCAACGAAAGGACAAGAGGCCATCCCGATGACAAAATTTGGCGTATAACCATTCACAGCTTCGCTTCTGTGCACATTCGTTCCAATCGAATCACCTGTTCCACCGCTTCACCCAAACGGTCCTCCAAGAACTGAGCGTGTTTACAGGCGTATGCAGT